CAGTTCCCCAATTAAACCCTTTATAAAACATTGCTCCTAAACAAATTGGATAATGAATACTACAATCAATTACAAAAGATCCCTCACCAGGAATCCAGATTTGTTTTGGTGATAGTTTATTATAGAGGTACCCCTGTTTGTTTGAGGGAGGGGGGGGGGACCCCCCTTTACTAATCAGGCGCCAACATTATATTATACAATACAACAATCAACATGTCTTGGTTGGGCTGATTGGGTTCGCTCCAATCAACTGCCTTGATACTCCGAACGCACCTGCGAAACCGAAACTCGGTCGGTCGCCTCCCACTTCAAGCTCTGCGTCCTCAGCATCCGATGCAACGGGCGGCTGCTGAGATTTTGTTTTTTCTCAAGGCCTACATTACGTACATTATGCCACCTGATTGTTTGTTGTTGTTATTTGATGTTTTTGTATTGGGTTTCAAGGGTGGAAAAGAAGTCGTCGATGTATATATTTACACGGTTACACATTGATAGGAGGTTGAGCTCCAGTGGCACTTGGTCTCACAGTCAGAAAAACATCAGCACTTGTCTATAGGCGGGCATATTACAGTATATATCAGCCAACATCATGTTGTTTATAGGTGTGCATATAAACATTATGCATATCTTTATCACCCGTCCCTAACGCTTTGGATTTGCTGGCTGGGTTTCTCGATCCTTTCCACGTCTTCTCTCCGTCACGTCGATGTCACCGGCGTTGTCTGGGAAGTACGCACTCACCTCTGGTTACTCACCTCACCTCTGGTCGGCCCAAGGTACGGAGGTACCTAGGCCGAAGTACTCTGGGTAAGGCTTGAAAGAGTCCAAACCGTTAAAGCTGATCAGTATCATAGGGATCGATCTGGATATCTCACAGTGGCCCACTCCTTCGACTGGGCACGTGAAACGTTGCCCTGGTCAGTCCGACGAAAAAAAACCGGGTCCTCTCTCAGGGCCATCTGTTGCATATTTCGTGCGGAAACCAATCCCCCCCCAAAAGGTTTTCCAGGTCCACTTTTCCGGGGTAGGAATCCGATGAACACCTCAAGTCGACGAACGCATTTTTGGGTTCACTCACTCCAAGGAAAACCCATCAGGACGGAAAACGCAAACAAGGACGGAAAACCTGTAGATGTCAAGACTTCACAGCGGAAAACAAACGAAGCTGACTCGGATTCGTTTCACTGACTCAGTAGGGGCTGTCAGAGTTGACAGGGAGCCATGAAGCTTAGCGTTTTCACCCACTTCTGAACCCTCCTTTTCAGGTGCTGTCACACCTGTGTCGCCCACGGGGGGGGCGCCAACACCTTGAGCAGCCCGGCTGTAGCTTGTGGAGGCTGTTGGTGGTAGATCCTCCATGTGTAAATCGACCTGCCCTCAGCAAGGCAGGAACCCGCCGACTCGTCAACTGCGAAGTTCCGAAGTAAACTCATCACATCATTCCTTCAATCTGTCCAATGAGAAGGCCACAACTGGTATGCATCAAACGTTACGGTGGGTGATGCAAAGATTTGACGGCGTCGCGACCACAAACGGCTTGAAGAACACCAAACGGCCCACCCAAAGCAACATATTCAACAAGGACCCTGGCAGATCTGACCTCCGAACATGTTCTTCTCGGGGCGTTTTCATACTCAGTACCATACTCAGACCATCCTTGGTCTGGACTTTGGGGCGTTTTCGGGATCTGGATGTATTGGACGGAGAGTCTCCTCAACCAAATTACTCCATCCCTAGGGCTCCAAGTACCTCGTCAGAAGGTACTTGGACCCTCCTGGCACCCACCCCAGTCCCACCTTCTTAGAAGGTACGACTGGAGCCCTAGGGCATTAAGTCTTCTCACTTCTTTCTGTGTTCTTTCCTATCCTCAATGATGTCAGCAAAGTCTGATTTCGGCCTTTCAGGTCCGTACAGGTCCGGTTTTGCAGCTTCGCTGATGCTTCATTGAAGAAATCGCCTTGGCCTTGACCGCACAACCAACTACCGGGATCATCCTGTCTGGGTGTCCAATAGACTACCCTACCCTACTTACAGGTCTCCATTGGGCACCCGTTGGAAGTGCTAGGTACTGTAAGTTTAAGATTTTAGATCCTGTTCCAAGGGATCCATGATCGCTCGAGCGGTCCCACATATGACAATTCATGCGAACTTCAACTTTGAATCCTTTCCCCAAAATGCACACAAGCAAGCATGACCACAAACAAACGTTGAATCATCTTTCTTCCGCGCTGGTCACACAGTCCGGTTCGTCTCTGCCATCAGCTTTGTGGCAAGACCACGCATCGCCCCTTAAGGGCTCTCGCCGCCGCGAGAAGACACGCGTCTTTGGACGACGCGCAGCTAGATCCGATGGGGCAGCCGCCCCAGGAGGTGCATCATCGAGAAGCAAATGTGTGCAATGTCTTGGCATGCCATGCCACCTGCTTTCGGATACTTTGTGTGGAAGGCATAGTATGTAAACCACATAAATTTGCAGTTAGTTGTGGCCTACCCTTTGATGTGGAGAATTCGAGCAAAAACACTGCCAAGCACGCCACCGGGCTACCTAAAAAGTAACGACCATTGGTCGCTTAAAAACCCCCTGCACATCCGATCTAATCCTGTTGGAGTATATCTTCAGTTTATAGATATAGAGTGTCGTACGTACGTGATATACAATACAATAGACATCAATATAATATATAGATATGGCATATGGGTTATATAACCATCCAATACGTAAAATTCACTCATCCTGGAGTAGACAACATATTGATAACATGAATTAATATTGGTCATGTTTTGCATTTGGGTCATATGAGTCATATCTTTGTCTCTGTGTTTTTTCCAGAATCCACGGACCAACCGAAAAGCCATCGGTTTTCGATGCACCGGACCGATCGATACGACCCCACCACGGCCGGGGCCGATCTCAGAGATCTCACCCGATGTGGCCGGTCCCAACTCCACCGGTGGCATACCCGGATGATTGTGTTGATTCTTGTCGCAACAAGCGGGGCGAGCAGGGCGTTTTAAACTGATGTGCCGTGTTGGATCTGTTATATAAGTTGCGCAGCGCGCAAACTGATAGATCAACAACACTCATAGAGGACATCCCAAGAAAACTGATGTATGACTTGAACTCTGTATTCTACTACTAGCACTACAACAACCCCTGAGTGTTTTCTTGGCTGTAAGTCGCGCTACCAAACAGGCGACTTAAGCGACATAAACCCCAACCAATTGTGAGCATGGAAAAACAAAACGAATTGATTTCCAGCATAAACAAAAACGTGTCATGCATTTTGCATATCAAACAGCGAGATCTTCCTTCTTGATGATATCGGACTGTACATGACCAAAGGAGGGCCTTGACGTGGCCCAGCCTTTCTGGGTTCGGAGGATTATCATAGGTACACCCCGAGTCACCAACATGGAAGTGGAACAAACACCTGTTTGTAGAGGAACATGGTCATCCTTTCGCAGCCATTTTCCTCTATTCCATGCAAGAGTGTAATGGCCTTTTCAGACTCCTCACCAATTTCAGAGGCACTCAGTATCACCAAGAGTACTAGATGCTTCTAGTGGGTATCATGTGAGTTGTAATCTCAAAATTGTTTGTTACCCATCAAACACCGAGCCGGCAAAAAACGAAGTCATGCTCATCCAGCAATGGACACATGCATCAAGGTCGTGGTCGTTTTGTGCATCTGTTCTGACGGGAGTTTCGCCGGCATGTGGATGAGAGATGGTAAGAGATCCCTAGGGATCCAAGTACCTTCTCAGAAGGTGATTGGAGACAACGTCATGTAGGTTTGGAGGGTCCAGTCGTACCGAACCTGAGAACGTACGACTGGATCCCTAGGGGATGGTAAGAGAGATTGACAATTTTCAACAAATCTTGCTCGCTTCAACATCAACCATCGGGGTTTCACCGCCACCTGGACCACCTCAGTTGTTCTTCTACTCTCAGATGCGTATATAGCCGCCACCACGGGAGCACAGGCAGCTCAGTGCGGAGCAAAGCACAATGATGACCACTGCGGCCACCACGAGCTGTACCAAGGAGTCACCTGCACATGCTGGGTGGGAGGTGTGGACTCTGAGGGAGGTGGCAACAGAGTGTGGAAGATTTGACCTATCCGGAGAACTAGATATCAAATATCTGTGTTAGACATCTTGTTTTGTGGGACTGGTCCCATCTGGTTGTTCTTGGGATTAAAGTATACGGGTGGGTGAAATTTCAGGACCACTACAGAACATGTCCTACAAACAAAGTTCCAAAAGGAGAAACAGAAACACTAATAAAGCATAATTACGTATAATAATTGGCCTCCTTCCAACAACTTTGTGCACAATGGCCCAGAGAAAACTGCTTAACTGCTTTCCTCCACTGTTCTGGGTCGTTTCCAACAAACCATGATTGCTGAACAAACTACCCACCCAACTATATATATATATATAATCCATCAAAGTGCCAAAGGTTTTGCACAACTGCCGAACTCCCCTATCCAAATCTGCCCGCGATTCCCACCCCACGCCGCGCGCCAACCCCTAGGGCGGGTCTCTCCACCTCCAACTACTTGGCTTCACCCTCCTTGCGGACCCTTCAGATCCTCCTCTGCACTGACTGGGTTAGAGTTTTTTGACTATAGACGGCCAAAAGAAATGCCCTGCGCTCCCCCAAAAGTGCCACCTGCCTGAACCCCCATCCGCTGCTTTCCTGAAACGAACCCAATAGAAAGCTTCAACCTGTCCCAGGCACTCCATGGGACTGCCATAAAAAAATCGTCCCAGACAGACCCCCCCAGTCAACCACCCCTGGCCGTTTCTCGGCAGTCCGGACTGGCAGTCCCAGACGGGTCGTCGTGTCTGAGTGTTGTTTTCGACCGTCGGACCGACATGTCACCGGTGACCGACCGAAAGGGTGACGGCTCGGCCTTGCAGCATGTTGCCAAAGCCGCCCATGTCTGGCCAGTTCCTTATGAGCATGAAAGAGAGGATGCTGAGAAACAAGTCGATGACTCGAAGTGTTGATGTTTTGGTTGGGGGAAAAAACAAAATAACTATATATATATATAGAAGTTGGAATTGCTGGTGGAAATGTTGTTCCTTAAGGGTTGCAAGTCGAATCTGCCAGAATCTGATTCTGCCAGTTAACTGAATGGTATGGCATGGAGGTAGATCATCATGTCAAATCTGATGAATCTCACCTGCTTGTTTAGTGATTCACCGGAGTGAGATTTCTGCAGCTCGCAGCCACCTATGCCACCGAAAGCACGAGGAATTGGTGCACGGTTCCGCACAAGGGGATTGATGACCCATGGCGTTCATAGCAGGAGTGGGCACACCAAAAGGTCGATCTGAAGAGATGTGTCATTCTATTGTTTTAAGGTACACCAAAGCATGCTGATCGATCTTGCTCCGGAAAAGAGACATGTTTCAACTTCATCAACATAGCCAATGAATTTATCAAGTGATACTGGGTGGGAGCAGGAAGTCAATCACAACCTGCCCCACACTTGGAACATGCAAAGAAATAGCATCGTAAGACATCGTAACATAATATAACTCATCATGTGTGTAGTCAACAAACAGCTCCAGGGCAGCTTGACGAGATTTGGACTCCTATCTGTAGAGTGCATCAAAGCAATGAATACCAAACTGAGCTGCCCGCATCATATTTTGGAGGTAGAACAAACCACCTCTGACTACTTAAGAGGGGATCCCCCCCACTCAAATGCACCAAAAGATTCCCTATACAAGTCCAGTCTGACCTAGTAAAGCCTTTGTTGAATAGTGTTTTTGTATGATCAACGTCATGTATTTCATGAGATCAGCCTGTATACGGATTGTTTCCGTTTGGGGTGCCGCGTCGATTCACCTAAGTGGCTTAGCATCGAGACATTTTTAGTTTCAAACCAAAAAAAACACAACGAAAAAAAACACGCGCAAAAAACGAAAACCCATCATGGAACACCGAACACCAACACCGGATGATCCGCAACATCGGACGGGGGGCCGACCGGTGAAACGGATCCCCTCTTCGCCCAGCATCGGTCCGATGGGCCCCACGGGGCTCGGTGGCCGCACGGCGCTCGACGGCTGCGAGGTCACCACGACCATATTGCTGCCCATACAGGTGCTGGGTGTGGTACCTGGGAAGGAGAGAACAGAAACATTAAACAACAACCAGGTGCTTAACACCTACCGTAAGAACCCCTAGTGTGTCTACACTGTTTGGGGAAAGAAAAACACAGTGCCACAGTGTTTAACGTGTTTTTGTTGCCCAACGGATTGGTGAAACACGGAGCAGAGCGGGCGACTACAATTGTTGTGTTTCGATCGATCCTCCGTCAGTAGCTGAGAACCACCCCACAGAAAGTGTTCAAAGTGGCCTGCGGCTGTGGCGTGGTTTGCTTCAAGAATTGCTGGAGCCACGGCCTGGAGTGTTTCCATTCAGTGACTGAAGGTTCCAGAACTGAAGGTTGGAGAGTTCTTGGATTCCCATCAAAATTTAGCTCTGGGCAAAGGAGCATGATCTTTCAGATCTTTGGCTTGCTGAAGGCATTGGTGTGTCTCAAGGGCCAATTTGCTCGACCCAAGCATCAACTGAACCCCCCCTTCGTCGCGGGATTGCATATCTCGAGAGGCCCCGTCCAGCTGCGCGGGCTTTGTCGATGGGATCAGATTGGGTAGGGACGTGTATGTCATGTTGGTCAGGCGTGCTTTCTCAAGTAAGTCACCATGGCTAATCAGAATGGTTATAGCTGTTGACTGATCCAAAGCGGTAACTTCGTGGTTGATATCCAGTTTCGAGGAGGATCGGAAACATGGGATGCTGCAACACATGCCGCTCTCAGTTCAGAGGTCCTGGCCCCTGGCCCTAGTAGGATCCGACTGCCCAAAAAGGACTTGGCTGTCGCGAAAAGGGGCCAGTCTTGGCTTCTTGCCCTTGGAATGGTTGCACAAGAATTGATTAGAGCTGGCTTACCTGCCCTGAAAGGAAGCTTTTCAACACAATAGTGAGTAAGAACGAAGAATCAGCATCTTCATAGTAAGGTTCCGTACCAGCCTTACTGAGCTTGTCAAGAAGGGAAGAGAACTGCTAAGTCTAAGCTTAAATGAAAAAGACAAAGACACCCTGACTCGCCAAAAAGAAATGTGTTCGAGATAGATGGATGGATCTATGGATAGATGGATGCACCATAGATAAACAAACATCAACCTACTAAAGCCAGCCTGGCATCGGTGTTCACAGCTCGACCAAAAACACCTAAAAGCACACAGCAGCACTTCCGAACTGGGGTCTGGTTACCGTATGGGGTGCACCCAAATGGTATGGTGGTCCAGAGCCTCTGGTGCCGTCACAAACACTGAGACTTCTACCACACCATCGATCCACTCTCACAGATCCTCCACACTGACACCGCTGATCCCCCAACCAATCAAGATCTACTGTCACATGGTGCCCCCTCCTCCACGGCGATCCACTGAGACTACAACCACCATGAGACTAATCCTCCTCCTCCTCCTCCTCCTCCTCCTCCTCCTCCTCACATCCCTCCACGTCCACGTCCAACTGCTGCTGAGTGACACTGATAGAGATCCTTCAGCTGGCCGATGTCGCGCTCACTCATTCCCATCCGCTGCCCCGTTCGATAGTACCTCCGCTGCACGACGCCTCTTTCCGTTGGGCCCCTATCTGGATCGGGACCCGTTCGATGTAGAACGAACGTGGTAGCGAACAGCGAACAACACATCGCAGCGAGACAAAACCCAAGATCTGCTGACCTCAGACCTGCTAGGGGTTCTGCGATGGTAGGGTTATAGTTTCAAACAATCTCAAACCTAACCCAAACAGCGGGTGTGGCACTTCGCCTACACAAAAACCCTAGATGTTCTCACGCAAGCCAGAGGGTGGTGTTTTTGCCGCTAGCCACCGGGACATACACAGGAGCAAACAACAATCTGCAACAGTTCAGATCGGATAGCAAAAGTGAGGGGTAGATCATAGTGTATAATTACATGCAATAGCAAGTCCTTAAATTAAGCGAGTGAATCAGCGTTAAAGAGCTATATAAAGGTGCATTGGCATTGGATGTTACATGATATTGCACTCTGCCTCACTAACATGAAAGGGGACCCCCCCCTGTTTTTACAGGACAGTGGTCTTCCAAGCGCCCCTTTGCCACTTCTATGTGATGTGTTCGTCAGAGTGTAATTCTACCAATGTCCAGGACCTCCACGTTCGTTTACCATTTGATTCGACCTCCATTTGTTTCTGTCGAACCTTCCGTCGATACAGAAAAAAAGCGTGCGAGAAACATAAAGTGCCTCAAAAAGTGCGACGAACGTGAAAAAAACACACTCACAGGATGGCCTGGGGAACCCTGAAGACTCCAGGCCGGAGCCCAAAGAGCTCACAACAAACATACAAACATACAGTATGTCCTTCCTGGCTGCTTCAATAAAACCAGGTCAGGTGAACAAGGACTCTGCCTTGAAAGCTGTTGCCACTCTTAGGTCGTTTATAAGACTAACACTGCTAGGCTGCAGCCAAATTGTCCTCTCTCTATGAGCGTTGAACCTTTGACAATTCCCTTACATGCTGAAGCCACTGCTGCAAGCAACTAGAAACTCATATGGTTGGTTTCCAAAATGACTTTTCCCAAAATGGTGCACTCATCGCAATTCCATGGGGGCCCGCTTCTAAATCTCCTTTAAACTCCAACCACACTCAAACCACAGGGATGTTAAACATGAAGGCACGTCAACTGCAAAAACTGTGAGAGGTGTCTAGCGCGGACCTTTCCAGGGGCCTGTTGAGCTGCTGGAGCTGTTGTTGCTGCTACTGCTGCTGCTGGACTTCTGCAGTTGTTTCCCATTTGTGTTCTCAGAAATCTTCAGGACGACATAGGAAGGATGTAAGAGCTGACTCAAAAGATTTGGATGTTGGATGGGCGAATGGTCAAGAAACGGACCGTCGTCTAGCGCGGTGCTAGCGCGGATCTAGCGCCAGCCTAGCGCAAAAATCTCCGTCGATTTCTTTATCCTGTCAGATTCCTTTTTCCTGCTTGCTTGTCTTTTTCTTCTTCTTGTGATTCTTGTGCATTATGTTTCTTCTTCTTCAGCTTTGTGTTTCTTTTTCTTGTCTTGCTTCTTCTTTTCCTGCTCTCTGCTTGTGTCTTCTTTTTCTGCTTGCTTATCCTGTTATGAAGAAACCTAGCGCCAACCTAGCGCCAATCTAGCGCTGCCTTGCTGTATCACCATAGTCTGCTGGGGGCCCGCTTCTAAACGAAGACTCAAAAACACATCTCCAACCTTAAAAGTTTACGTTTATCTATATTTTTTGAGTAGGGCTTTTTGAGCGCAGTCCATATTGAGTTAGCAAGGCATTCAAAAAGATCGACAACAATAGCCTTCCGCCACGCTTTAAATTCGGACCAATTTTACGGGAATGTGCGCCCATGTTGCGGGAATTTGCTCGCAATGTGCGTGTTCAATTTGGGGATGCTGTGCTCGAAAAATGAACCTGTGCAAATGCAAGGTACCTTTAGGGAAATAAAGTGGATTATTTGGTTTGACCGGCAACTCTGGCCAACTTATATATAATTGGATGCATGGAGTGGAGTACAGGCATGTTCTGCGGTCGCACGCACTTTAGGCCTGGTTTATCAGAACCTGCCTGTGCATTTATAATGAGGGAACCGGGAATCCCAACTGGAACAAAGGACATACCACCATCCCTTGGTCCAATATGTATTGGAGCTCAAAAAGCGCTCGAAGCAACAAAAAGTGCCCTGGCACCTGGTTTTACTGGGTCTTTGGACTTGTAGGGAAGGAACAAGGTCAAAGTATTTTGGGACACACCTTCACCACTGGGAAATGGAGTTTGGGTTGTAAACCTCACAAGCCGAGTTGCTGATATCGATTAGGATCTTGCGTGTAGAGCGCGAAGCCCGCCCTGGGGATGCGTTCACGGGGCCCACTTTGGGGCAGGGCATCATCTCTGCGTTGACACGCAAAAAAAAAAGAGCGAGTTCAGAAGAATTGTCAAACCTGTTTTCTTTGTAGGTAATTACATATCACATATCTATATACATAATATCTGCTGATGTATTCTGATATCATATCTGCATTCTACCCATGCGACCTCGGGATGTCCCATTCGGTAGGTCACTTTGAAGCACCCGAGGTCGCATCCCCAGGATGTCCCAGGTCGGTTTCCACTTATTGTCTCACTGGAATAGGTGGCCGCTTGGCCCGCCACCCATCATAGTAGTGGATTCTCCATCCGCGTCCCTTTTGGTTGCATCCACGCATCGTCCCTTTTGGGGCATCGTCCAAAATCGCTGGTGCACTGGTGGAACATCTCAGCCACTGCCCCTAGTTGGTTGGGAAAGATCTGTTAACATCTTGAATGTTCATGAGATTCATGGGAAAGAACGTCCAAAGAAGCATGGTTTCGACCCCTTGCCGATCAGTTTGACCTTATGAAATACTGGAGTTGGTCATACAAAACCACTACCCAAAAGGAGGTCAGTTTGACGAGTTTACTGAGTCAGACTGGACGTAGGGCACGTCTAGTAGTTATTCAATCTTAAGTCATTCACATCAAAACGACAAAATCCAGGAAGGTGCGGGGTGTGAGACCAGTCTACCTAGCGATCTGGGTGAGATTTCGGGGGTCTCCAACAAAAGAAGACACTCCCTGAAATCATCATGGTCTTCGGTGGAGTGAAAACCACCCGAAGTCATGGTCTTCGGATGTTGAATCGAAGGGGTCCTCGCGGTGCCTTGGCAAGACATCCTCCAGGATGATTTTGTGGAGTGTACAAACCCAAGGGTCCTAACTGAAGCCCGTAAGGGTTAACAAGGCCCATAAGGATCCAAATGGATCCAAGCACCAAGTACCCAAGGGTCCTAACTAAGGCCCATAAGACCCATTTCCTCGGGATGACTGAAGGGATTCACAGCGCTGCTTGGGGGATTCCCCGCACGACTCCACAAAAATGTGGCAAAGCCAACACGTTTGGGCTCAGAAGTGTAGATAGATTTCTCCTGCCAGCTGAAAGCAAAACCGCTGAAATCTTAGTTCGTCTTGTTCCATTCAGCGGTTTCTGCGGAGGTCCAAAAGGGTTTTGAAGAGACAATGAGACAATCAATCTGCATGAGCGCTGACCTTAAACAACACCAAAGTACCTTGCAATGAACTTTTGATGCCTCAAACAACCAGGACTTCCGAGAATCTTCTGTTCCAATCCAAAGGAAAACATAAGTAACCGGCTAGTGCTGGCATCGAAACAGAATATCTTCTCTTGAGATCAACCACTCCATGTAGAACCCGAAGGCTGGTTTTTGTTGTTTATAGGGCTTCCTTGTTGTTCATATTCGCAAGACTCTTGACAGTTATACCCATCCAAGGGGAAACCAATAATACACCTGCAAGCCAACGTGTGGGTTGTAGTTGGGATCAGATCCAGGTACTTGTTAAGAAGAAACCCACACTTCTCCAAGCAAGAGAAACTCTAGAGCTGACGGGATGTGCTCATCGAGTGCTTGCAGAAAAGTTGTCTGCTTAGATGGTCTCCCCATGTTTGGTGAGGAAGCACACGAAGAACCCATCATCGATCGGGACACGGCTTCACAGTGATTGAGGGCATGCCATTGCTGGTGAAGGCGGTTGGGCCGTAGTGCATGATCGACCTCAAGTGTCCCGTGCTGTGCAGGTTGCTTGCTTCCAGCAGCGGATGACAAAGCCAATACCATAAGTGAGTCCGTGCATGCTGCATGTAGAATTCTTCACCCAACACATCTCAACACTCATGGGAAAAGGTTTTTTGTTTGTCCTGTTCGGTATGCTGGAAACCAGTCTTTCGTCCGGGACATGTCATCCGGGACTGCATGTAGTCCGCATGGTAGCCAGCAACCCTGGATCTTTCGCAGGGAACCAGATGGCCCGAGTGGTTTAGAACGAACAAATCCAAAGCCCACCAGTTTTGATGTACCAAACCTCCCCGTCGATCCGGCAGGGGGTACGTACTGTGTCCGTGATCCGATCGTTCGAAGCCTCGGCTGTCCGACCGGTCCACCGCCACATCCGAAGCGTCGGGCGCGAAGCGTCGGTCGGAGAGACCAGTGCCACCCACCCGGTCGACCTCCGATCTCCTGTCCCAGACACGACGACCCGTCTGGGACTGCCAGTCCGGACTGCCGAGAACCGGGCAGGGGTGGTGCCAGGGGGGTCAATGTGTCAATATAGTAATATAGTATATATACCAGCATCCTCCAACAGGTCACCAATTGAGACCTGTTGGAGCCCAAGAACCCTCTAAAGGAGACCTGTTGGAGGATGCTGGTATATATTCCACAGAATGGAGTGTTTGGGTGTTCAATCACGGAAGTGGTTCGAGTTCGACGGCTTTTTGGTACCAGTCGCAGAATGTCGTAGGGCCGGTTCGTGTCCGCATAGCTATCCTTGGCAAACTGGCCTTGGTTCATCCATCGCGCTGACCATACAATAAGCCAGTGATGCGTGGGAGGCGCTCTCCGGCATAGACCCAGATAGCAACTGCAGCAATCAAGTATATACCATTTGTGGATGATGATGATGATGATGATGATGATGATGATGATGATGATGATGATGATGATG